TAATTAAGTGAAATAAATTGATTCATATACTACATGAAAGCTTTTTGAAAAAGATTGAATTTAACAAAATCGTAAAACAATTTACAAGAATATATGTATAATTGCAGGTGTTACACAAATGTTTTATTTCCACGAAACGATTTTATAAATTCAGATCCAATGATATATTTTTTAATGATATTGGAAACATTAAAACATGTTCAAATAATGTTCAACAAGCAGGACACCAATCAATCGATTTTCTTGGGTATGTACACGCTACTTGAGTCTATTATGTATTTACGCAATTTTCGAAAATATAGTTGATGCCCAGTACTAGGTGCTAGAGATTGAAAAGGTTCCAAAACTAATTGTTCAATACGTTTACTACCACTACTTGTTTGCTGCCTATTTTCTTCGTTAAAAATGTTTCATAAAACGTAGCGTACCTTATTTGTGGAATATTAAAATAATGTGGCAAACGAAAGTTATGGATATCCTCATTGTTCTGTTACCTCCTATGACATTTCATACCAACGTGCACAAAATTAAATTGATTTGACCAATTTCATGTAAACCGCAAGATCGTGAACGGCATATGTGTGTGACGCTAATAGCGAATCTGTTAATGACTGTTATGTAAAGGTGGCAACTGAAACAATTATGGACAACCGAAATGATGTTATAATTGTTATGGGTGGCAAATGGTTTTGACCAAAATCGATCCCGGTTATGGTTAACGGACTGCGTGTTACTAATATCGGTTCTGCAGATATTAAACCCCTTTAAATACCGCCAAACGATCTAAAAACTTGCGCATCACACATCATAAATAAAGACATTTCTTTAGAATTAACCATCTCCTTTGGTCACCACCAATATACATCAAGCAATCAAAACAGAAACATGTTTTACATTCAAATCATCAGAGGCTATCCAATTTTCAAACATTCGATATTCAGTCATGTATGGATGTTTCCTCCAAACAGTATCCGTGCACTAAATTTCCGATATTCAACAAATGATCAATATTTAAACTATTCTAAATTACGTAAAAAAGAGTTGTTCAACAATAAACTTGGACATTATAGTGCATACTATAAGCACTTTCTTGAATTGATATTGACATTATATGTAGTTACATACCTCAAAATAATTTATTTACAAAATTATTTATTGCTCCTTGTGTCTTCCAGATTGTTACTAACTTATTGATTTTAGTGTAACAAAAACACTATAAATGTAAATAGGACAAGCATATACGATATGTTCAGTTTATCACAGTTTCAAGGACATTGCAAGATGAAATAAATTAAATTGTGATATGTCGGGCACACCTTATGTGCTTACGGTATCTATATTTTCAATAATACCTTTATTAAATAATTTAGTTGGTAATTTAATTAGTAATTTAGTAACAATCTGGCAGGGATATGTAGAGATAAACAATTTTATGAAACTTTTGGAAACAAAAGAAGTAATGTTTTTTCGATATTTTCTCTTCGATAAGCCAATTGGCCTATTAGCGCAATCCCATTATAAACAAATTAAAGAAAGAAATTGTTCGCTGTTTTTATCACCGTTCTGATCGATGCGTTTATAGGTTTCGTCGCTGCTTTAACATAAAACTACCTTAAGGAACAAAACTTTCGATTATGAGTTACGTTATAACAGATGTATTTTTCGTACCAATTTTCGCGCAAACCATGATCGCTGACAATTGTGCAAAGAACAATCGAGCTGTGTACACTCAATGCCTGCTACAAACAAGTAGCGTTCAGAGTGCTATGCGACAACTAGCAGTTACATACTGCTGTCTCCCTTTGTAGTATCAATAAATATCGATGTTGGCAAGCAATAAACGCTCTGATTTTCACAACAAATAAAATATTTAACAATTATTAAATATAAAAATGGTTATATTGGACGTGGCCAAGTTCTCGACCCAATATTTGAAGTGTAAAAATGTAATTTAGATCAACAGTTCAAAGCATAAACTGCCTCGTCTAACGTATTTATCGATTTATCAGGAGGTTGAAGAAATCATAGTTAATCTAATGAATCATAATAAATCTAATTAATCTTAGTAAATCTAAGTAAATTTAAATAAATTCACACATGACATCCAAACAGTTATAGACAGTCTCTGTCGTGTCCTCCGTTTTATAATTATATATTTTGATTACAGTGCTGTGTAAATTCCCTATACATACATATATACGGGGTATCTAGAAAGATTGGGACAAAACTCGTACTATGAATTACTGAGGTAAAGTAGATAAAAAATGTGTCCATATAAACTTGTGTCTGAAAATGCTTTATTGAAAAGATATGAACGTTTAAAATTTATATAAGCGTTAGTTTATGAAAATACGATAGAGACAGAAGATCAAGTTTCATTTCCAATACAGATGGAATATTTGAAAGAGTTCGACAATCACTAATTTGATAAATGAAAGCCTGCAGTGAAGTCTTGCAGTGTGAGAAATGTTCAAACATTTCTTATAACTGTTACAATAAATAATTTTTTAATTGTTTTGTCATTTCAAGTAATAGCAAAATTGAAAAAAAGCATTTTGTTCATTGTTTAGTAGACCAGCCCCTTTATCATCTAAAAAAATTTAAGTAATATTGTGTAGTTTTAAAAAAGTTATACCGTTTTAAAAGAGGTACGTACACTTACGATCTTACTGTATTAAGGAGTTATATGCCTTTTAGTAGTCGAAAAACAAGGCTTCTTTGGTCATTTTTTTCAATACTTAGAAAGTAATCAAAATGAGGTTGGGAAGGTTTGTTATACATAGCTTTGTGTGCGTGGATACTGAAATTTATTTTTTATTTTTTAAAAATATACCAGATGGCGTCCCAACATGTTCAGTAGAAAGTAAGTGCTATTTTTTAGGCCCTCTACGAACGGAAAGGCTAGAGATGCACGTTAGCACATTGGTCAAAGAAACATATCTTGTCATTATCTACATTAGTTTTGCGAGAGAAGGAAACACAATTTTTACGATTGTAATTGGCAATAATCATGTGTACTTCTCTCGCAAAACTAGTGTAGATAATGAAAAAATTTTGTTTTTTGCCTTACGTGCTGATGCGTGTCTTCAACCTTTGGCCTAAAAAAGGTGTCCTCTTTCTACCGACCATAGAGCCTCTATTTGTTATCTCTTTTGGAAAATAAAAACTGATTTAAGTACCCAAATATATATTTATAATAAAATCTCCAAGTCCCATGAGATTATCATAAGTGAAACCTAGGATTTTGATTTGGTTAACAAATGTTCTCGTGATATAATACAAAAGCGTAAGATATTGTATATTCTATCCGGAGATAGTATGCGACATCTACTGTCACAAAACGAATGTTTACTACACTTACATATAAACAATTACGAAATATATCGAGTACCTTATTCTTTTCTCCAACATTGTATGTCTGGTATCCGGACTCGTTGACCGGATCACGGTTGCCGTCCTTAGCTAGGGGCAGCTCCAATGTCGAAGTCTCGTTATCGGTTGAAATCAGCTAGTTATTGTGGTTCACAAGCTGAGTAGAAGGAAGGTAAAGAACCAGCCACAAGTGGTTCACCGAAAATGAATCTGCACTGTTCCGTACAGTAGGAAAGGTTGATCGTAGCTTCGCGACAATCGGAGAGAGAAAGATAGAGTGGGAGAGAGATAGACTGAAGAAGAAGAGAGAGAAAAAGAGGCAGAGGGAGAGAGTGGGGAGGGCACGCGTGCTTGTCGGGTGGTGCGAGTTTGACAGGGCGGTAAGCGAGGGTGGCGGGTGAACGATTATGGGGGGGAATGCGGCGTCAGTGTACCGCGAACCACCGACGAGTTCGCGTCGCGTCGCTGGACGTCGTCGTCTCGTTTCGTCCGTTTGTTCATTCATCGATCGCTCGATGTTCACCGGTTCCTTGTTAAGGACACGGATAATCCGCTGTTGATCAACGTCCGATGCTCTTATCAGACGGTTATTAGAGCGAGAGATAGAGACATAGAGATAGGGAGAGGGAGAAAGAGATGCGATCGTTCCCAGGCGACCAAAGGTTTTCCATCGCAGAACTACGACCCCGTTGATCGGTTCACCGCGGAGTAAAACGAGACAGCGTGGCGTCTGCTCCAGTGAACAACCCATCAGCCAACAACGCTACCGAGTGCTCGCTGGATCGGGATGACTGCGAGGGAAGTCACCCTAGCCGGCGGTTCTCCTTGGGGATTCCGCATGCATGGTGGACATGACCTGCATCAACCCCTACGCATATCTAGGGTGAGTCTATTTATGGGGGAAGTTTCATTGACACCCAGATAGTACGCACACGTCTCCTCCACGTCTTGAAGACGTCCGATCTGGACGTGTGCACCGGACGTCTTCTGGATAATCCTGTTTCACGCTTGAAATATCGGACCCATCGGGTTTCAGGTGTTTCGTGTTGGAATTACTAGACTGCAGATTCTTATGCAAAATAAGAATTGTCGAAGTTGATTATAAGAAACCAGGGCTGGGGACAAATTTTAACTACTATTTAAAAAAAAAAGTTTATTTGTCAAATTCTGTTTTGCATGAAAAGATAACAATATTTATAGTTTGTTTCTTATTTCAAAAATTTATTTTTCCTCAGTCCTGTAAGAAATGTAAGTCAGATAAAAAAGTCTTTTCTCTAATTAATGTTTCTACGGTTTTCTATTGGACCTAGTAATTTTTGCCAAAAATGCATAAAATCCGCAGTGTCTAGTACTTACTATGATTCGGATGATGTCTTTAGTTTACATATTCGGTTGTATATAGTACGAAGAATTTTACCAGTATCGAATGTACGCAATTTAGTTAATTTTAGAAGGCAATGTGTTAGATTTCGTGTGAAACGCTCGATTTTAAAACAGTAACATTAAGCGTATATAATTTTTGTTCTAATAACATTTATTAAGCAAAGCAAGCACTAATCGAAAGAACATATTTGTTCGGATACTAGAACAGTTAATTAATTACGGTGCTAAATCAGATCTTTCTTGCTCTGATAATAGGGAATTTAGATATCAGTGATTCGGATTTACATTCGAATTACATTTCTTAGTTACCCATATGCTATATTATTAAAATTGTTGTTCGCATTTTTTAATTTCTTCTATGCCGAATAAAGAGTTTATTTATCATATTTTGACAGAACAAAGTATTAATGTCAAGGTCAAGTGTTAATGTCCAGTTATTGCAACATTATATTCACACTTCTATTCGTATAATAAAGTATATGACAAACCGTGTTATTTAATACCGAAATGGATTTAATAAATATCATGTTGGGTATCTAAATAAAAAATGAAGAAAAAATTAGGATTGGACTTTAAAACTAACAATTACGTATGTATAAAATGTAATAGTAAAATCAAACCATTATATAACAGTAGCATTATAAAATCGTTCATTTCGTACATAACCGTCGAATAAAAGACTTCAGTTCTCAATAATGGCAGCGTTAAGCTAATTTAAAGCAGCGATTACAGCAAGATAACATTTTCAAGAATTTTATTAAGATTTATCAAATACGAAAATAAATAAATGTGATTGATTTAGTTTTTTATTCCAATTTCATTGACTAAACTATAATTCTGTCAGATTTCTGCACACAGGCAGTTATGGTATTAATGCAAATTATTATTGAACATATTTGATCGCCTAAACAATATTTATAACTGAGAAAGTTAGTCGAAGAGATTAGATCATTGTCGTAGGAATTTTCCTCTAGCATCCTTTTATGTCACTTGAATCTGACTATTTAAAGTGACGGAAATTAATTTGCATTTCTTTTGTTAGGCGGTTCTAAATCATTATACATTAAGAGATTGAATCGATATACACTACCGGCCAAAAGTTTGAAATTACTACGAGTTTTAAGGAAAACGGTTTTACCGTATTCTGAGCTCCCTTGTATTCAATTTGCCTGCAATATTCCGCAAAGAATGATCTTTTCTAAGTACGATGATAGCATTTTTAGTTTCAACACTAATCTGTATCGTTTCTGCCATTTTTATTTAACTGCCGATTTCATTTGAATGCCTGCATTAGCAAGAATGGTAACAATGTGTGACATGGCTTCTATACCTTCTCTCAGTGTCAACGACAACCAATCGGCTCCTATCATTGTAGTATTAAACTCTCATTGGATAAAAAAAGAATCAAGTAGCCTTTATATAACGCAAAAACAGATTGACATTTTACGTGGTAGGGACGTTGACGTTTAACGTTACTTTAAATTGGGATTATAATCTGTACAAGAGTATTTTCAATACAAGAATAAAATTAAATATCTTAAAATTTGTAAATTATTATAATTTAATAAATTAATAATTTAATTTCATTAAAAAAGAAATTGTAAAAGATTTATGTCAGTTAGGAAAGTAATAGTTCGTGCACATTGAGTATGATAAATCAAATATTCTTTAAAGGTAATTTATTTATAAAAGTATGGTCGACGTTACTGTAAAGAGGCGTATGATATCTGAAACTATAAAATGGACTTCGTTGAAGATATTTTGATTAAGCAAAGTCACTTCATTAAAAAAATGTCTGTAAGATGTCTTTCCCGTAGCGAACATAATTGAAACGCCTTTAGCAGACTCTAATTAGTTGTTTTATAAGTATCCGTATTCTAAGGCATATAAAAGAATTTCATTACATGTTACTTTATAAGTATGTTGATTTCTAATATTAATATCTGACTAATGGGGTACGTAGCTTTCAATCAGCTATCCTAATTGAAATTTTGAAGAACTAATTGAAAAAAACTAGCTTCGACGAAAGCTATGTTCAAACTTCTTGAAATTAAAAAAAAAATGATTTAAAGTCACTAAGGGAATAATTACAAATCTGATGTGCAGAATTTGCTTGATAATAACGAATTATAATACTAGCGATTGCATAAAAGAGTGTTATCTGAAATAGAACTAAGATGTTTTATTAAACATATGTATGTATCTGTTTCAGACAGAAAAATATTTAATAAAAATCAAAATTATATGTTTAGATATAATTATAGTTAATCGTTTACGTTTTCGTATAACAGAACTTTTTGTATGAAGAGATCATTTAATATTAAAACTTAAAATGAAGTGAAGCGCATTCTTAAACGTGGAAATTTTCCAAAGCGACAAAAGTTCAGTTTAATGATAGCGTACTCAATTATTCATGAGCGCCACTTTTTCTGCAGTCGTCACCACTATACAATGAATATCAAAACGTAGATATAACTGCGGGATCTGAGTTTGGCATTCAGAAACAAGGAAAAACTGGTTTTCGACTTGGTAACGATACTCATTTTGCAACGCTCTTTCTGAACTTCACTTTCAATATGGACGCTTAAAGTGAGTCTCTACAATTTATATGTATAAGTTCTATAAACAATATGTACAAGTTCTATAGGTTCTACATTTGTATAAGTTTCATGAAATTGTATAAAATTTATACAAGTTTTATGTGAAATTGTATAAAACTCACATAAGTTCTATAAGATTATTTATATAAATCCCCTGTATATAGGTCACAAAATGAAACCACAAACCCTATTTCTCGGAGTTTTCGTGCAAATAGTATTGATTCATCATTAACGTTTCACGTGAAAATTCATGTGATAAATTTAAAATTTTTGACAAGTGACACGTGATTGCCAATTCTACAGAACTCTTGTCGTGAGTTTTGCGCGTTCGAATCACTTTTGAAAATGTTCTCGGCGGTCTTGATGTATCTCTTGCAAGTACCGCAGCCTAATTTACGATTACTGCTCGGTGTTCTTTGCCACCGATCGACGTGCTAGCAATCGCATTAACATTACATACTTGCCCGTTATAAAACAAGCGACCTAGCAGACGGAGCGCGATTAACGTTCTCTCAGCTGTTCCGGTTTAATTGCGTTCGATCAATACGTTCGGAGAGTTTCTTTGCTGGTTCGATGTACTTGAATTCCATGTTTCGACGACTTTGTACGGCCTTGACGTTCGCGGGCTTTTAATTCAATGGGACTGTCTCAATAGCGATCGGCAAAAAACACGGGTCGTTAATAAAATTTATTTGTCGCGACACAAACTCTTGCTTTCTTAACAGTTATTTCCTCGTTTGTTCGCGCGATGATCGTCGATTCAACTGCGAAAATTGCTACACGTTCTAAAGATCGGATATTGTCGTTCCGAACGATGCTTCTGCTTTTCACGTCTCGCACGTTTTTAATTGTCGAATCGGATTTGCATCCGCTTTGTTTACCTACGAATGCGAGCAGATTTTAAACGATCAATTTTTATTGGCGCTTGTATTGTTGGAATTTCAAGCATCGAAATCGCTGAATTTTTGCGGATATATGTATAATAACTAGACTGCCGATTTTTATGTAACATAAAAATTGTTTGCATTAATTTAAACATAATAAATACACATAATAAAAACAATCATTTATTAGTTCCCTCAATTATTATATTCAGATAAAAATAATGCAACAGCATTTTTAAACACTTTCAATTTTAATTCTACAATTTTGTATTTGATTTATTCATTTTTTTAATAAGTACGTAGTATCTTCAATTACATCTTCCTCTTTCATTTGACAATGACTTTATGAATTATTTTTCTGGTGCTTAATCTATTATTTGAATTATCAATCGTTCTTGAAGAGTTTCCATCTTTGAGGCTCATTGACTTGTTCTCTTGAAAGATCTCGCTAATTTTTGTATGTAAATAATGGATAATTTAACTGTGATTCTAATTTTTAATATTTTCAGATGTCAGAATATCGTCGAAAGTCACGAAGTAGATATAAGTAGGAACAAAATGAAACAAGATTAATTTACTTAAAAATAGTAATCATGAAGTAGAATAGTAGAGCTAATTAATGCGGGGTGACAAATTGTTGTGTCTTTCATTTGTTTTTGGGCATAATTAACTTAGAGAATAAGACATGTTGAATTTTTGTATTCAGAAGTAAACAAAAGAAGAGGATAGAAAAAGATTGAATACGTTTTATTCGTATTATTCCGCTAAAGAAATTTTTAATTAAAAATTTTTTAAATTTAGTTTCTTAGTAATTATAATTTTTGAAGAAATTAAGCAAGTAGCAGTTATATATATAGGAAAGAATTAGAAAGAATTAGCAGAATTAGGAAATATTTAGCCAGAATCATAAAGCCGAATAAATATAAATTGAAATGTAATTAACTAGTACCGTTTTAATCATTGACGTCGATTCTGAAAATTCAATTCCGCACGTATCATGTGTCTGACGCGTCTGT